GGGAGGGAGGGAGGGAAGGAAGGGAAGGAGGGAGGGAAGGGGGAGGAAGGGAGGGAGGGAGGGAGAGTGGAAGGGAGGGAAAGTAAGTTAGGTAGTTTTTCCTTCAACATTACCAACTTCATGCCCAGTTCATGGGCGCGGTACTGGGGATGTGATGGAGGTGGCAGCCCATATCCACTCCGCCGGTCTGGCACAAACTTCTGTTGTACCAGCTGTGCGTACAGACATTTAGTAAAAGTGACCTGGGCATTGGGATACAAAATATGTGATGTGAGTCTTCTCCTGAAACTGAATTTTGATATCATTTCATAGTTGATCTAACAGTCAGTCCACTTCTGCGCTTCATGTTTATTACCCACGGGTGAGCTGCAGAGAAGGCCCCGCCTGCTCACTTCCTGTGTGTTTTCGGAAACAGCTACTGAGATAAACATTCACATACACCCACTTTTCAGCTGTCGCTACTGGAATTATCACTAATTACACTAGGGTAGTTTAGGAGGAGGTGGAAGAGAATAATTCTTAAGAGATGAGATGTTTTATTGTTAAGAAGGAAGTTATTACAGTAGGGAAAATATGGTCAAAAGTAGGCAGGACATACTAAGTCACAAAATGAGGAGTCTACACTCCTCCCCACACAGACAGAAATGTGCACTAGTTTTCTAAGAGAACTATTAAAATGATAAGAAAAACTAAATGACCAAGAAAGCTATCTCACAGATGCCATTATTCGTGTTTCAGGCAAAAATGTCTTGAAAACTCGACAGGCTCTTAGGTCAATGGGGTCCCGCAGGTAGAAGGCCTGGACGGCTGCAGACACCAGTCTGGGTCGCTGTTTCAGCACGGCCACAACTGCAGCCGGAAGGAAGCAGTGCGCTCGGTGAAGGGAAGCTTCGATTTTTTCTGGGTACCTGTGACAGGTAGCAGAATGCTTTTATTTTGTGTGCAAATACTGAGGTGTTTTTTTTTTTTCAGGGTCTCACTAAGTATTCCTGGCTGGCTTGGAACTCACAGAGATCCTCCTGCCTCTGCCTCCCGAGGTGTGAGCTAGCATGCTCAGCTTAAAAAGAATTTTAACATCATTAAGACAATACATTGAACTAAAGTGCTATTGGAACTTGTCTTCTCTTCAAAATGAAGCCTAAAGGGTTCCACAAAGGTCAAAGGACATACAGAAGCTACAGGGTTCCACAAAACAACAAAAGGTCAAATGTATTGTATTGCCTTCTTCAGATTTTCATCTTTAAAAAATCTCAATTTTCATTTTTTTTTAATTTATTATTTTATGTGTATGAATGTTTTTTGCCTAGATGTATGTCTGTGTGCCACATACATGCCTAGTGCCCACTGAGGCCAGAAGAGGGTGTTGAATTTCCTGAGACTGGAGTTACAGACTGTTATACATAGCCATATGGGTGCTGGGAATTGAACTTAGGTCTTCAGGAAGAGCAGGTGGTGTATTTAACCATGAAAACATCTCTCCAGCCCTGGCCTCCAATTTTTATAGATAATATTTTGCTATGACACTTAAGGTAAATAAGGAAAGATATTCTGAGGGTGGAGTTCAAGACAGGGTTTCTCTATGAAGCCCTGGCTGTCCTGGAACTCGGTCTGTAAACAAGGCTGGCCTTGAACTCACAGAGATCCACCTGCCTCTGTCTCCTGAATGATGGTATTAAAGGTGTGCGCCACCACTGCCTGGCTGAAAAGATACTTTTGAATAGGAAGAAAAACTACACCTAAGTCAGGAACACCTGGAATCACAGCTACTCGGGAGGCTGAGAGAAGAGGTTGGCTTAAGCCTTGGGGTCCAAAGCCAGCCTGGACAACATAGTGAGACCTTATCTCAGTCAATCAACCAATTGATCTGATTTCTGAATTTAAATCCCATAAATTTAACTGTCAAATGCATGAACAGCAACAATGATAAAATGCAGATGAGCATTAATCTAGGTGGAAGACATGCTATATGCAAAGAAAACCCTGTGCTGCCCTGAACCAAATGTTGCTCAGCTAATAGTATCAGTGTTACTCTCTTTCTTACCCTCTGATGCGCCTGTCCACAGCAGCTTGTACAGATTCTGAAGCTAAAACAGCTTCTGAATGTGCTGAAACGATACTCAAAGCCTGTTGGATTGTTGGGGGTGTAGTGGGGAGCCAGGGTATTCTTTCAGATTTCCTTGGCACAGGAATAATACACAGCTTCCCATGATGAAAAAACACCTGCAAAATGGCACATCTTAGTCTCTTTATGGGCTCTGGGAAGCTCTAGGGACACAGAAAATGATGTGGCATGATTTCATCCCTGTATTCTCAAGCCCGTGTACTTACCCTATTGGCACTATTATCAGGGTCCAACCACTTAGGAAGAAAGTCAGCCGCTTCTATTAACAAGAACTCACCATCATTGTCTTCAATCCTAACAAAGAAAAGACCCCTTTTCACATTCACAGAACACAAGACAGCTTTGATCAAACACATTTTCCCTTCTCAGAAAATACTTGAGTATGTACTATGTACAGATTGTCAAAAAAGGGTAAAACCAGTAGAGCAGAGCTGGGAAGTGGCTCAGCAGTTTGTTTTTTTGTTTTTTTGTTTTGGTTCTGTGAGACAGGGTTTCTCTGTGTAGTTTTGGTGTCTAGCTGGCTCCTTTACTTCTCTGATCTTTCAGCATTCACCCTGATATCTGACTCCGGATTTTTATTAAGACCAATTAGAATTCATGCTACATCCATGTCCTGCTCTTGCAGAGGACCGAGGCTTGGTTCCCAGCACCTATATCAGTCAACTCACAAATGCCTGTAAATCCAGCTCCAGGGCATCTAATGATCTGGTTCCCACCAACACCTGCACTCAAGTGCACAAACCCACAGAAACACACACACACAAATAAATCTTTAAAAATATAGTAAAAGCCTATAGGAAACTATAAGATTGTAAGGAAATGTAGAAAGAGATTAAAAAGAGAAAATCAAAGTATTATATTGGACAAAAATATGGAAATACATAGGTACTATAAGGTTCCAAAAGAAGCGGAGGAGGGATAACCACTTGTAGGTGAAATTGGAAGGCTTTTGTATACAGTGTAATTTAGATCTGTAAAGATATTTTTTGTCTCATCCATTTTTAATTTTTGAGTAACATCATCACATGGTTCACTTTAACCACACCCAGATTTTCATTTTTAATCTTTTCTGTGGATTAACTCTGTTCTGAGTTATTGGAGTATAAGAATTTGAATTAAAAAAAAAAAATCTTTGGGTACAATATTCTTAGCCTGAGTTTCACATGCAGTTATTCCCAGTGATCTGCCACATACTTGGCCTGACAGTGTGGAAGATCTGCTGACACACAGCCCTTGGTGATATGTATTTTACAGATTTCTAATCATAAGAGGACAGATATCTGTGGGAAACAAAATTTAAAACAGCATAAAAGATGGTGCTGTGCTGGTAGTTTCCCAGAAGTTATTATTATAATTTTTTTCTTTTTCTTTTTTTTTTTTTTTTTTTTTTTTTTCGAGACAGGGTTTCTCTGTTTAGCTTTGCGCCTTTCCTGGAACTCACTCTGTAGCCCAGACTGGCCTGGAACTCACAGAGATCCTCCTGGCTCTGCCTCCCGAGTGCTGGGATTAAAGGCGTGCGCCACCACCGCCCAGCTATTATAAACTTTTAATGTGAGTTAAGGAAAAAAAAGTTCTGACTTGGTGGTGCACACCTTTAATTCCAGCACTGAGTGGGCAAAGGCAGGTGGATCTCTGTGAGTTCAAGGCTAGTCTGGTTTACATATCAAGTTCTAGACCATCCAGGACTATACAATGAGACTGTCTTTAAAATGTGTGTGTGTGTGTGTGTGTGTGTGTGTGTGTGTTTTCTACCAAACCTCAGAAAAAAAATTACTAAATGGACACATATAATCACTTATGCTTTAAAATGAGAATTCCTTTAAAATAATTAAAATAATGACAATACCTTGCTACTAACTCTGGAAATGCCTTTGTAATCTGCTTTATTACATAAACAATAAACCATTCATCCTCAATGTTATCTCCAAACTTCGTCATGCCATACATATGAGCAGGAACACCTCCTATAAACAAGAGAGAAGTGATCATGAACCAGGCAAGCCTGACAGTGCAGGGAAAAATACACGAAAGCCTTCAATCACTAGCCACTGGCTAAGTTCCACGAATTACCCTAGGAGCTGGGGCTGCAATTCTGAATAAGACACGGAATGTGTATTTCTTAGGAGCTTGGGCCTAAAACAAGGAACAGACAACCAAAGAATACCACAATCCAGTGGGTTTATGACTACAAAGATGGTTCAACATACAAAAATCAGTCAATATGGGGTGGAGGGATGGCTCCGTGGTTAAGAGCACTGGCTGCTCTTCCAGAGGACCCGGGTTCAATTTCTAGCACCCACATGGTGGCTCACAATCCTCTGGAGCTCCAGTTTCAAGGATCCGATGTCCTCCTCTGACCTCCGAGGGCACTGCATGCACATGGTGCACAGACATACGTGCAGGCAAACACCCATGCACATAACATAGATAAAAATTTAAGAAATCAATCAACGCAATGTACCGCATTAACAGAATGAAGGTCAAACAAATGTTACAGGGTCTACCAGAGCAATCCCAGCCAGAAACCAGGTGAGGTGAGAGGTCTGCTCAAGGCTCAACTCCTCTGCTCAGTCCAAACCACGCTTATCTCTCCAGTTAGATTAGAGCACTAGGATCTTTACTTCATTACTTTTTATCATTTATATTATTCCTATGCTTAGAGTATGATTTTTATTTACGTTACACATCAGATATCAACTGGAACCTTCCCCTATAGCAAGAAAAGAATGAAGGAGATGAAGCCAGGAGGTGACACCATCCAATCTGTGTTCTACAAAGGTACTGCCAACAGCGTGAGGAGCTCAAGAGACTGGAACTAGAGAGGTAAGTTAGGAACTGTAGCTTCCAGGATGAAAGAATAAAAGAGTAGCCACACTGAGATCAAACAGATGTGAAAAGGGTCTTTTGGCAGTGCTCACGCTAGGCCTTCCTGCCTGCCTGAACATAGCAAAGTGAAGAGGATAATTTAAAGTACTCACTAGCTTCGGTAACTAGTCGGCAATGCCACTGGATAAGTAAGAAAACACAGGGTAAACATGGTTTTCTAAAAGTTAATAGGTTGCTTTTGCTGTAAAACTGAGTCTTCCTCTGTGGCCCAGGCTGGCCTCAGGCTGGTGATTCTTCTGCCTCAGCCTTCAGAGTATTAAGAACACAGGTGCTGTGATATCTGGCTAAAGGGTTGGTTTTAGATGTAGCAAACCAATTTGCTAGTCTCCTTGTCAATAAACATCGCATGTACTCTAGAAAATAAGAGTTCAACAAAATTAGGGTCAGAGAAATGGCTCAGTGGTAGACCAGTTGTTCAGCAATGCACAAGGCCCCATGTTCAATACCCAGTGCTGGAAAAAGCTCAGTAAAATTAAAAGCAAAGGAGAAACTTAGCAGTTGCTAGCCAAATATAACAGATTAGCACTAAACTATGAGCCAGAATGGCAGGAACAAAAGATACCGGGCTCCTGACCCTAAATAGACCCTACACAAGTCACTGTGTAAACACAGCCTGGGCCAGGTACCTATTAATCATTTTCATAAAGTTAGAAGACATGGCGGAACAGATTACTGTATTTTGCTAGAGTTGACTGAAGTCAACACATGTAAAGCAGTAAAGGACATTCAGGATGCTTCTGGATGGCAACTGACAGTGACATTTCATAATCTACCAGCCAGATAAAGGCACTCTTCGATTCTCAGCAAACAACTACATGAAACAAAGCAACCCACTAAAGACATCATCAAGATAAGCACTGACCAGTAAAAGGGAACCATGACTGAAGAGACAGGGTAAGCCTGGACCTGTGAAACACAGGCACTTACATTACAGCATCCTAACTAAAGTCAGAACAACAGCCACAATCCCCACATTCAATTTAGGGGCTACATGGATATGGACAAACACCACTGATTTTGTAAGTTGTGGGTGCAAATTTCTGTTATTCGACACTAAATGAAAGGATTACTCTACCTTTTGCAGGTTTATATGTGAGATTGAAAGGCTGATTCTGCCAGATATAAGGGACCAGGATAGGTGCAAACTGGGTCATTATTCTTTCAATGTACTTCTGAAGAATCTCTTTGGTTTCCTCTGTGTCTCTTGCTTTATCTGGTATCAGAAACAGGCAGTACTCCACAGCGTCTTCTGCCATTGCCAGCTTCATGGTGCCCTCCATTCTTTGAAAATGACATTCAAAGTTTCAGTGACATAAGCCTCATAGAAGGAGAAATAATAACACCCCCAAAACTCTTCTAAGGGACCGCATTATCTCCCAAAACTTTGATACACACCTACTTACCACCATCACGGTCTTGGCCTTCATCAGACACCACTTGACTTCTTATTCTCTGAATGACATTGGTACTTAACAACCATGTTCCTCATACTTAAATTATGTTACATGGGAACCTTGATATTATAGAGTGAATGGAGATCTAACAATGCACTTCCCAATTACCAAACAAGTATGTAAGAATAAAAATTAAAAATATCTAAGTGCAACAGGTGTGCCTACGGTCTCAGCTGAGAGCCTGAGGCAAGAGGGTCACTTGGGTCCAGGAGTTCAAGGCTAGCCTAGGAAACAAAGCAAGGCCGTGTCCCACAAACAAATTAAATGTGTTGCCCTTCAGTTAGCAGCAGTGTGAGTAGCACAGTCTGAAAATATTACACTACCATCCACTATTTTTTCTCAAAACTTCCAACTGTGCTTGTGTTGCATATTTTGGGCACTTTACTGTCTTTTCTTAAGTTCTCTCATTAATTGTGGAATGGAAGTGTCACACTCCATCAGTAAAACACCTCGTTACTTTAAAACTGTGTTATCAAACGCGTTAAAAAGCTATGTTTCGCCGGGCGGTGGTGGTGCACACCTTTAATCCCAGCACTTGGGAGGCAGGTGGATCTCGGTGAGTTCGAGGCCAGCCTGGTCTAGAGAGCTAGTTCTAGGTCAGCCAGGACTATACAGAGAAACCTTGTATCGAAAAGCAAAAACAAAAACAAAAATTAAAAAAAAAAAAAAAGCAACGTCCCTTGCTTTACAGAATTTAAGTCTACAGAAGATTTAAAACTACAAACATTTGTGTGTTACCATTTGGTCCCACAATAATTTGCCATGGTTCCGGATGCCCACCTAAGGCAGCGATTTGATTCTTAAGCTTACTTGGCTTTGCAAAGGACCAATACGGAACCTGTATCTTCTATGCAACTACCCGCTCACCACGGTAAATTAGAGAGGCATGCTGCCTTTCGACCCGGAGGGTTGAGTAAAAATTCTATCCACCCTCCCTCTACACCCAAGCAGGACTCCTTATGCAGCATTTACAGAGTCAGAATTGAACTTGGGGTCATTCGGGTTAAAGATTCACAATACAAATGACCAACCTGAGACCACAGAAAGAAGCGACCGAGGAGCCCCGGCCTGGCGCAGTCTAGTGCTCTTTCATCACCCTAGACTCCCATCTTCCACCTGACAAAGGTGAAGCAATTCCTTTCACGGTTGCGGGCCTTCTCTCGTGGGCTTCTGCTCTGGCACCTTTCCTTGGCCGCCTCTTGCACCGGGACACTTGGTCTGAAGACACCATCAACCGCTCAAGCCCAGCCCACGCCAGGTCCTCTCGGCTTGGGCCCGGCGCCGCTCAGGAAAACCTGGAAGCCGTGAGGCTACGGAACCTCGGGTGTAGCCGCTAATGCGCCTCGGAGCCAATTTCTGGACTGTGCTGTTTTCTTCCGTCACTTCCGCTCAGGAGAGGAAGGAGGCAGGTCGGAAGACTATAGAGAGGGAACTCTGGGAGGTGGCGGTCCGGAATCTAGGCGACGGGGCGAGACGGGGCGAGACGGGGCCGGTAGGTGGCAGGACGGGGCCGGGCCGGAGCCGGCGGGAGGGCCAGGCCCCGAAGCCCCCGCCCTGGCTTGCCCGCCCCTGCCGCGGCGGAGAAAACGGAGGATGATCTCCAGATACACTCGGAAGGCCGTGCCACAGAGCGTGGAGCTGTGAGTGGATTGCTCAGCTCGCCCGACCTGGGCCGCGAGAGCTCTAGGGACCGTCCTTGCTCAGTCCTTCTCTCCCTCCCTTTCCCAGGGCTCAGGCGAGAAAATAGTATGCTAATCCTCTACTCCCAGCCCTGGTGGAAGCTGTCTCTTGTCCTTGGGTCCCCGGCTGAGAGTGTCATCCGTGCTATCCTAAGACTGTCTTGTGGGCTGTTACTACACGAGTTGAGGGAGTGGATCTCCAGAAGCACTTATTGTTCCCACAGTGCTCCTGGCCCCACTGAAGATAATAGCCGAATGCTACAATAAAGTTGAACGTGTCTCGTTCCAAACACTATGCAAAGCTGTTTGCTTGAATGTGTTAGCAAAACTAGGGGACCGACTCTGCACATCCCACAGATAAAGATCACCGATCTAAAGATTGTATCTAGAAGATGGTGCAGCTGAGAAGTACAAACCCAGGTGTCAATCCAATTCGAAAGCCTGTTGTCAAGACTTTACACACACACTGCCTTCACACCCCCAGCAAATAAGGATCAGTTTTGTTTGTGGACTAAAAAGCAAGCACTTTAGCTAAAGACACGCTTTGTACCCTTAGTAAAGTGTTGTAACTTGGCAGATAATGATAATGCCTTACTGGTATGTTGTGATTTCAAAAGAACCTTCAGTTTCTTGATCCTTCCAACAATTCTGAAAGATGGCTATAACTAGCTTCTATTTCTCAGATGAAATTAGAAAGTTTCCACATCTTAAGCCTGAACTTTTAAAAAGGCAAGTCCCATTGTTACCCCTCACTGAACTAAGTAATTTCAGCAGCCATACACTTACTAAATATTAGCTATGCATGCTAATAACATTCATTAAAGTCACACCTGAGATTTTGGATGGGCACTTTTCTTGCTATGTAGCTTTTAGTCAGGTTACTAAATCTGGGCCTTCCTGTCTATATATACAAATAATATCTACAAGCATACCTAAATGATAGCATAGAGCTGGCACACTGTAGCTTATTGTTACCATGAGAACCAGCCTTTAGCAGCTCAGGAATTGAGGGGATCCACAGAGGCGATGAACTAATCACTCAATTGACTTTTCTGTCTAAGGAAGTAAAACTTAATTCTCTAGGGCCGGCAAGGGGGGCAAAACTGAACTCTCTGGGGCCGGCGAAAGAGGGACACACACACCTCCAGCATGTCAGGATCTGACCCAGGGTGCTGATGAATGGCAAGCTTCAGCAGGTCAGAGACACTGAAGAGGAGATGCAGAGCACTGAACTACTGGACAGACAAACAGACACACGAGGACTTTTCTGAGGGCCAAAGCTTAGTTCTGCGTTTTATTTTTATTGTTGCTTGTTCTACTCAATTCTTTTTCTTTTCTATTCTTCTACCCTGATGTTTCCCTCTGGAAATTCTTATTTTTTTTCTTCTAACTAACTTTATTTTTTCCCTTACAGCTTATATACCCCAGCAAAATTTTTCAAGCAATATAAAAATTACAATGTGGTTACATTCTATTTTTAAGTGGATGATTACAATGAATACAAGTAAAAAAACACAGCATGTTTTCCATATCCCTTACGTGATTAAACATTTTACATATTACAGGTAAAAAATAAATTGTCCCAAGAACCTACATTCATTAATACCCAAGCAACTTGTTATAGATTAACAGGGTGTAAGCAAGTAAGTTGTTTTGCTGGCAGGCTACATTTTGTGGTTACAAAGAAAGAATCAATCACTTTATTATTTATCTCAAAAGGTAATCTTAAAAAAAATCTTAAAAGAATCACAAACGTAAACTTTTATATATGAAAAACAACCAGTCAGCTCTACTTTAACTCCTCAAGGTGCATATCCACTCACCGACAGTTTTTTATATCAAGAAGCTGAGGGCAGAAACGGGCACAAGGAATTAAACATTACCCTTTATCACCAACCCATCCTAGCAAGAAAGGTCCATCAGCCAGCAATAGGCAGGCTACCATTGTTCCTGTTCCCTGACCCCAACTAGTCCCTTGTTCAACTATTAAGAGTGTGTCTTTATAAACTTTAAATTGTTCCCCAAGATTTTCTACCTCAAAGCCATTAACAAAAAACATTCTAACCTAACCTTACTAACAATCTACATGTCTAAATTCTTTCTAAGGGTGGTGGCTGCATCATTAATCTGCTCTAGCAGCAATGCTTGGAAAAAGTCAATCACTATTAGTACTAGTAACAAAGCCCAGTGAGAGGCTAGAAACTCCCTGAGAGTCTTCCTGCAACCCATAGATGATGAGGGATGTGGTGACTGAAAAGGCAGCAATCAGAGCTATGCTCAATAACAGCATGCGGTCCTCAGGGCACGTAGGTCCTCGGGGCTTTGCCTCTCCAAGGCTCACTCAGGCATGGCTTTGCCAACTGCCCCGCTGTGTTCCATGAGTTCCAATGCACCTGTTGGTCCCCTTGCATGGACGGCCCTGACAGTAGGTCCTCAGTCAGTGGTAATTCTCTCCTTGCCTTTTCCCACCTTTACTTGGTGCAAGAGCCGTACAAAGGAAAGAACCTCTCCTTCCTTTTCACCAGTATGTTATCTACTAAGGAATATGTTATCTACACAATAGCAAATCAGGCAATAAGCTCTTTAGGGAAGAAGACTAAGAAACAGTCATTGCCCAAAAGAGTTTGACTTAAAATCTGCTTTTAATTTTTAAAATTCCATTTAGTGTGTGTATGTGCGCATGCACCATACCACACATTTAGAGGTCAGAAGACAGCTTACAAGAGTCACGCCTTCCATGGTGTGAGTCTTGGGGATTGAACTCAGGTCATGAGGCTTTGTGGCAAGGACCTCTACCCATTGAACAGTCTCATCAACCTCAAGTTTGTTATTATAATTAATTCTAACCAGAGAACTTGAAAATACATTTTGTGTGAAAAAAAAAACTCTACCCAGGCATTTTCTGAGCTGAAATGGCTGAGCCTGTGTAGTTCTTGTTCTTGGTGCCGTTTGGACAATTCCTAAGAGTAACCTTTGCAAAAGGGAGTCATAGGAGTGAAGAACAAGGATTCTGTGCATGTAAATGATAGTAAATTCAAAGGAATTTTTTCTTTAGATGTGATAGTGATATCCATTTTGAAGCAGTAGCCTTTTTGAACAGTTGCTAGTTGTAGGTGTTGGAAAGCGTTTAGCAGAAGTGCATACATACATACATACATACATACATACATACATACATACATACGGCCTCCCACCCTCACTCCCTATTTTTGGTGCTGGGAATTGAACTTAGTGCCTCACGTATGCTAGGAAGCTTATTGCTTAGCTGCATTTCCAGTCTTAGCTTGCCATTTTTAAATGAAAAGTTCAAACATAAGCATATAAGCCGGGTGTGATGGCTTGCTTTTTTTTAATGGACCACCTGAAAATGTAAACTGAATTCATGGTGGGTTTTTTTTTTTTTGGTCATATTTCTGTTGGACACTGCTCCTCTGGAATCTATTTTCTGCTGCACTTGTCCACTGAAATAGACTGTGTCGGTTATTACGTCTTCCAGAACTAATTATCTACAGTAGGCATCATTTCCCCATGAAATTCTCTAGTCAGATACATTCAGGAGACGTGGTAGGTTAGAGTTTTTTACAAGTTTCTTTGTAGGAAGTCTTCCCAGGCCTTTAATGTGCAAATGCACTTCATAAATCACTAGTACACGTATTTCACTTAAAGCCCAGGATTAAACAACTGCTTGTGATAGGTAAATGATGAAGTCAGTGTTCAAATCTAGGTGATCTGGCTCCAAGGCTTCTCAGAGGAAATGAATAGTTTGAGATTTTAGTGAATTGTGCCATGTTTGTACACAAAGCCAAGACCCCAGTTAGTGGAATGTTGACTTTCATTTTGTCCTCTCTCTATGGAGGGCATGGCTACAAAGTATATGGGGATCTGGAGCGACGCCTCAGAAGAGCACTTACTGTTCTTGCAGAGAACCTCAGTTTAGTTCCCAGCACCCATATTGGGGCTTCACAGTTGCCTGTAACTCAGGGTCCAGGAGGTCGGACACCTTGTGTGCACCACATGCACACCAACTCACACAGGCACAAGCACATACACGTAAGTTTTCAAAAATAAGTATTTTTACTAGGGGCTGACAAGACGGCTCCGCATGTGAAAGAAAGCACCTGCTACCAAGGCTGACAAGAGAGTTCACTTCCTGGGACTCTCCCAAGCTAGTCCCACTCCTCACATGCACATACACACAGAATAATAAACAATTGTAAACAATGGCTTTATAGGAAATATGAACTATAAAGAGAAGACTGTTTTCTCTTCGCAGGAAAGGAATAACAAAGCACGCTCTTAACCATCATCCCCTTCCAGAGCAGCTGGATGACATTTCCTCTACCAATGACAGCCATGAAAAAGATACAAGTTCTCAAAGGTACTAATACAAAGCCTGCTTGCTTGCTTATTACTTGCTAGTGGCAAGGATTCTGTTCATTAGGACCACGCCCATGCTAGTGAAACAAGACAAGAATTTTTATCTTTATAAGAGCCTCAGGCAGGAGGCTTGCTGGAGTTCAGGCTTACAAAACCAGACTGTGTGTGTGTGTGTGTGTGTGTGTGTGTGTGTGTGTGTGTGTGTGTGTGTACATTTTTCCCCCTCAGGACCATTTAATTTTCATTCTGGAACAGCTGTTGGAAACAATATCACACTTACTTTCATAACT